ACCATGCCATTACATGTCCTGTAGGTGGCCTAATTATCAAACGACACAATGAAATTAGGGATGCTTTAGGAAACATTATGGAACAGGCATGGGGGAATTGTATCAAAGAGCCCCTTATAGCAGAGAATAGAAATTCAAACGGGCCTGCAATTAAAGCTGACTTGGCATGTAGAGGGGTATGGGAGACACAGAGGGAAGCATTATTTGATATCCGTGTCGTAGACACCGATGCTCCCTCATATGCTTCCAAACCTCATGACAATGTCATACAAAATGCAGAAGAAGAAAAGAAAAGAAAGTATATTTCAGCCTGTGAGAGCCGGAATGCCTCTTTCACTCCTTTGATAACATCAGTCTGCGGAATCCTAGGCAAAGATTTTCAAACATTAATAAGAGCACTAGCTGAGAGATTGTCAGAAAAATGGGTTAAGCCTTACAGCCTGGTAGTTAATTGGATCAGAACGAGACTGACTTGCTCAATTTTAAGGGCAACAAGTATGTGCCTGAGAAGATCTCGAAAAAAATGGAGATCTCCTCGAGAATTCGAAGATGGAGCAGGCATCCAACATATTTATTGAAAGAATCCAAATTTTTAGTAATATCTGTAAATTTAGATTTATTTGTCTTATAATTATCTATATTAAATTGATTTAATTAAAAAAAAAAAAAAAAAAAAAAAAAGTAAATAACAATAGTAAAACATAAAAAATGATTTTTATTCCTGCATTTGAATGTACATAAACGTTAGCAGAGTGAATGTGTTTAGGACAGATGATAATGGACTCAACATGTTTTTGCTCGGTAGTTATTTAAGTCTAGACTCCCGTATAAACTGCATGGAAAAATTTGACCAATCACAGCGCTGCATCAGGCTCTAATGCAAATAATACAAATATATAAGGCGTTTGGGACTCCGTCCAAACAGTAGCCTAGTTTTAACTATTGCCACAATGAGCGCTAAGCGCTACGATCTGTTGACTGTCAACGCAAAATCTGTCAAATAAGTAAAATGCAGTAGTTAGTGAGGTTATGTTCATCGTAACGCCAGTATTCGAGATGTTGGTTAATTAATGTACCAACTATTGTTTCTCTAGAAGTGTTGTTCAGTAATGCTAGAATGAATTATGAATTCTAATAAAAATCTTTAGTTTATTGCGGACATTTTCCATCACGAATGTCCGCAATAAACTTTTGAACAACATTAACTCACCATCACCAACAATGAACTTCAAACAAAGAAAAATCTTTAGCTGCAAAGTATGCAACTGGTGAGGACGATTGTAAACGAAGAGACAATGAAAACAATAACAGTATGAATAAAATAGTCTTATCCAAAAAATTGCCTAAACTAACGTTTAAATAGCCTAACTCAATTTTTTCAACATTAAAAACCTTCCCCAGTAATCCTCCCAAATAATGTATGATGCGTTCTCCCACTACTTTAACCCACTGAGACCAAAAATGTTTAGTTCTATCCGAGCAAAGCTTGGTCTCCTGGTACTGTTTAAAAAATTTAATTAGTTATCAACTTAGGCTATTCAAACAGAAACAAAATATATTTTATGAAAGTTAACAAAGCAAACAATAAAGCTTATGAATATAATTACCGCATATGGTAAGAAAATTTGTAGTTCCTTCCAGTTTTAGCTGTTCAAATTTTAAATTAAACTAAGGATAAAATAAAGAAACAACTAAATGAATACATATTTTTGTTAGTGTTAAATTTAAATCATAATGGTAAAATTAAATCTAATGTGATATTTATATCAAACCAAATATAATTTATATTTATTTATATTGGCCTAATCCGATAATATAGATCGCGGAACTGTACCCCTGTAGGCTATCTATAATGGAGAAATAATTGGAATAAATAAATACGGTAATCATTCATAAAATGTTCATTGTAAAACAATTACGGTAGAGAAATTCAACAGCTCAAATTTTAACATGAATATGATAGTATTGACAAAATTACAAACCTATGCAATATCATCATCAAACAGCAACAAATATCACCTAGGTACCTAATGTTGCCATATATATATATATATACACACAGAGTGTTTTTTTTCCTTGCTTCTTTATTTAATGTAAAAACTGCAATAGATAGAAATATGCTGTTTGCAGGAATCATCTATTGACGTAGGGGCCACAATTGTTGAGAATTCAATGAGCGCGTTCTGGGAACATGTACCGGTGCACCGGTGCAAAAAATGTGTCGTTCTGGGAGACTGGTGAGTTAACCTAGCAGACGGAGAGAGAAATTGTACGGTGCATAATACACCGGCGGCCTCTGATTGGTCAGTTTCTTTGACAACAGCTTGCAGCTACGGCAAGATGGCGGGTCCACCGAATAATGTTCATTAGTTTTTTAGGTTATGTTGCGTAATGAGTTAAAATTTACACAATGAGGGGGTTATATATATTACATAATAAATAATAATTTTCAAATAATTTATTCCGTGAGGGCAAGTCTGTTTGTTTTATTTAAATATTATAAATCAAATAGTAGGTGAATGTGTAGATTATAATCCGATGTGTACCGTAAACCGGTGACTAACCGTTCTGGGATACCAAGACTCTTGCCACGGTGAGTAAGTCACCGGTTAATCTGCACCGGTGCACCGGTACATGTTCCCAGAACACGCCCAATGTTAAGTTCCCTTTCACCCCCTTTCTGCCCCAACCTTTAATTTAACATTTTTAAATTGCAAGGTACCTCTTTTGACATAAAATGAGAGGGCGTGAAAAAAAAAAATAATGGCGTAACCTAGTGGTCTCTATGTCAATCCTATCAAAAGTTATAGCTGTTTAAAGTTTTAATGTTTTGCCCATTGTTAGAAAAACTTGTTTTTTTTTTAAACAGCTGTAGCTCGAAAGCAGTAAGAGCTAGGAAAGATTTGAAAGTTACATTTACATGGTCAGTAACTTAATTTGGTAATTATATCGACCTCCGGACCTCACGCGAAATTAAAAATTTCTTTTTTCAAAATAGTCGAAATTTCACGCTGTTTTCGAAAATGATTGTCGTTTTTTCGGAAACGTCCCGTTTTCCCGGAAAATGGGAAAAACGGGAAAAATATTTTTTTGCTCAAAACCCATGGTGTGGGTAGGCCTACTCAAATTATGCGGAATTTCCTCCTGAACAAAAATATGTAAATTTTATTACGATCGGACCGCTATTAAGTAAAATATCACCGAAAAACGGGAAAACGGGGAATTTTTTTTTGCTGAAAACCCATGTTGTGGGTACTCAAATTGTGCGGAATTTCATCCTGAACAAGAATATGTAGTTTTTATTACGATCGCTTTTAAGTAAAACATCACCGGACAGGTTAACTAACGCAACATAACCTAACCTAGGTTTAGATTAGGTTAGATTAGGTTGAGTTTTGTTAGGTTAGGTTAGGTTAAGTTTGGTTAGGTTAGGTTAGGTTAAGTTAGGTTAGGTTGAGTTTTGTTAGGTTGTTTGGTTAGGTTAGGTTAGGTTTTGTTGGGTTAGGTTAGGTTAGTTTACTATGATAGGTTAGTTTAGTTTAGGTTAGGTTAAGTTAGGTTAGGTTGGTTTAGGTTAGGTTGAGTTTTGTTAGGTTAGGTTAAGTTTGGTTAGGCTAGGTTAGGTTTGGTTGGGTTAGGTTAGTTTACTTACAATACTCATGTTATTGATAAACAAACCCAACCTAACCTAACTTACGAACTTAGGTTAGGATAGGTTAGGTTAGGTTATTTAGTTTAGGTTAAGTTTGGTTAGGTTAGTTTACTTACAATACTCATGTTATTGATAAACTTACCCAACCTAACCTAACTTACGAACTTAGGTTAGGTTGGGTTAGGATAGGTAAGTTTAGGTTAGGTTAGGTTAGTATTGTAAGTAAACTTACCTAAACTAACCTAACCAAACTTAACCTAACCTAAGTTCGTAAGTTAGGTTAGGTTGGGTAAGTTTATCAATAACATGAGTATTGTAAGTAAACTAACCTAACCCAACCAAACCTAACCTAACCAAACTTAACCTAACCTAACAAAACTCAACCTAACCTAAACCCACCTGACCTAACCTAACCAAACTTAACCTAACCTAACCTAACAAAACTCAACCTAACCTAATCTAAACCTAAGTTAGGTTATGTTGCATTAGTTAACCTGTCCGGTGATATTTTACTAAAAAGCGATCATAATAAAAACTACATATTCTTGTTCAGGATGAAATTCCGTACAATTTAAGTACCCACAACATGGGTTTTCATAAAAAAAATGTCCCCGTTTTCCCATTTTTCGGTGATATTTTATTTAATAGTGGTCCGATCGTAATAAAATTTACATATTTTTGTTCAGGAGGAAATTCCGCATAATTTGAGTACCTACACCATGGGTTTTGAGCAACAAAATATTTTTCCCGTCTTCCCATTTCCCGGGAAAACGGGACGTTTCCGAAAAAAACGACAATCATTTTTGGAAACAGCGTGAAATTTCGACCATTTTGAAAAAAGATGAGGTCCGGAGGTCGATATAATTACCCTTAAGTTAATTTCCTTCAAAACACCCTTAGGCCGTTTTCTGAAAATCGCACTCCTTCACCTTAAATTATCGCCCTGCTTCTACAATTTTTAAAATTTCTCGGATTTGTGACGTGTTTTTAATTAAACAAGCATTTTTTTAAAGGTGTGACTAGCTGGCATGCTTGTTCAATAAAAAAAACTTATAAAAAACGATAAATTTTACAAATTTTAGAAGTATAGGACGATTTTTAGATGATTCCCGCAAACTTCAAACAAAAACAACAACAAAAATTAAAATAAAGATATATTTACCTTACCGCCTCCCCTTAAGTCATTAGAAATTATGACTGTTATTCGTTTTAAAATAACACCTGTAATACTTACTTAGCAAATGCTCGGATTCGAGCAGCAGGTAAGTTACACTAGTATGAAAATAAATAAGCTAGTTTAAATAAACACCCTGTATATTGTAATAATGAGTTATTAAAGATAAGTTACCTTTTGTAAATGAAAGTCTACAGTAACAACTCCAGTTTGAAAGAAGTTGAAAAGATATAATATCAAAAATGCATTGAGTAATAACCCCATCACTGCCAACACATGAGACTTCGCCGTCTTGAACGGTACTGAGATAACGGGAGTTGTGTAAGATAAAATAGAACCGCTTTCTGAAGGACACTTTCGGTTTGCTTGCATTCACTTCCTTATTTCAAGTTTGAAGTTCACTAAGCTCAGCACTGAACTTTACAAAAGAAAGGTTATGTTGTTGTTGTTGTTGTTGTTATGTTGCTAACTAAAGTAACTAACTTGACGAAACACGAAACTGGAACTGGAACCGAAAAACCAAAAACTCCCAACTCCGGTGGGGCACACGGAAGATTTCTCAGGTGCCATTTGACGTCACTAACTGCTGCGTCTGAAGAAACAGACAATTTAATAATTTGTCTATTAATTAAACTGTCATAACATAACCAAACGTGCTGATTGTGAAAAAATCGAATGAAGATTTACTAATCTAAAAATAGTTTTGTTAATAAAATAAAATTATAAATGCCCGACACGCTATCCACTACACCACCGAGGCAGATGGCTCAAAACCGTATCGTTGCGGTAATGGTGTTCCCTTGGTTCCCTCAAAGTGACGTCAGCAGTTATTGACGTCAAACGGCACCTGAGAAATCTTCCGTGTGCCGTTTTGGAACACCTCTAGCATCTCACAAATGTTCCTCTTCCAGAAACTGGCGAGAACCTCTTGTGCGAAGGATTGGGGGATTGTGGGAGAGCCCCTCACGCCAATTTAAGACAATCTTTAAATTTATTTTATAATATTTTGGTTGGAAAAACTAACTTTAATTATATAATAACTAATAATTATAACTAACTTTTTAATTATATAATAATTTTTGAATTTGTAATTATAAAACTAATTTTAACTTAAATTTTTAATTATAAAATTAATTTAACATAATTTTTTTATTATAAAATTTAACTGTCATAACCTAACCTAACCAACCAAACTTGCTGATAATATAAAAAGATATAAGATAAAAATCGAATGAAGGGGTACTTATAATTTTTAATTATAAAATTAATTATAAAATTAAACTGTAAGGCCGCGGCTTGGAGTTAAAGGTGACCGTTGTTAAAGGCGGTAGTGAGTGAGCAGATTGAGCAGGAGCATACGTTGAATATTATTTGTTGCCGTTGCCTGCCGTTACCTAAGCAAGCAGAGCCAGAAATCCTCCTAGGAGCAGACAAACTAACAGATGACACTGGGACGGATAGCGCTGGGTTCACAACGATATGGTAGGCATTCGGTTAAATATCATGCTTGTTTTCTACCGGATGACAGACATCGACTTTTAGTATCGGCATCGGCTCTGGCTCACCGCACCGGCTGCCTCGGTGGAATAGTAAACTATTGCCTTGGTGCCTTCTACTGCAGCTGCTCAGCTCCTATCCTATGTCTGTCGTCAAACGGAATGTGGCCTTGACGATGGAAGGCCATAATTTTATTCACAATATTACAGTGAGAGTGAATGCAAATAAATAAGTACAACATAATATCTGAACCTGGCATAAAATTTGCCAATGAACATGTTTATTATCCAATTACAGTAAGGCTGATAACCAGCATGATGAATATATAAGAACTTAAATTACGGAGGAATTTTAAAATTAATATTCCAGTAACTTGCGCAATTAACGCCAGATAAATTACCACCCCCTTACTTTTAAAAGCGTTTAGATGACCTTTGCATATTTCCTCCATAATAATGCACTATGCACCATGAAACTGATCAAAAGGAACAATGTTGGAATAAATGAAATCAAATATTTTCCTCTCCTTTTAGGCTAGTGCTAGTAGTTTTTGTAATCTCTTGTCTTCTCTTTTCTGTCTGTCGGTGTTGGTTGGTTTGGTTTTTTTAAAGTTTATTTACAATCTGTTTTACATTAAACGATTAATAATTAAATACGATGACATTTTTATTAATAAAATAAAAATTGGAAAACATGAGTTAGCAGCTAAACTGGTTTGTTTACGTTTTGGTTGGTTGGTTGGCGCTATGGAAGCCAATCGATTTACGATATTCGATAGTAGTTGTTTTCATACTACGACGATCGATACTTAACCGTATGCCTACCATATCGTTGTGAACCCAGCGCTATCCCACTGGGACACTGACACTATGACAGACAGACAGACCAGGACCAGACAAGACACTACACTAGCAAAGCAAGTAGCACTAGCCCCAGGGCCTAGTTAGTTGTCACAGGCGAAATTTTAATATAATTTTGAGTTAAAGATATTTTTATGTTTTGTGCTTCTTATTAAGTTATTCTAATCAATTTTTAGTTGTGTTGAAAATTAACCTTTTAAAACATCTCTTGTTTAAGGATCATATACAAGAACATTATGGATGGTTGTAAACACTTGAATAATTTTAAGTTGGTTAAAGGAATACAACCTTACAAGACTATTCACTCATATTTCGTTGCTAGTACCTCAGCAGAAGCTCGAAAGACTAAGGTAACTAATTTTATTGTTATTTTTACCAACGAGTTATCTATTGTGAATGAAAATCACCCAAGGGCTTTAATGTTTAGGTTATGTAGGTGGATCAGGTGACCGGGCGGTGGCTGAGGTTATGTTTAACTAGTAGAGTAGGCTAATCGGTGGCTAACCGTGTTTAACTCTAACCGAAATGGTGGCATAATAATTAACTTGATACTTTAAACTGATATGGCTACCATACAAAGGTATTTATTTTAACCCAAGTATGAATGGAGATGAGTGGATTAACATGACCTAGGTCCAGCCTAAGTCACGTTTTAGATAATTTTTTTTTAACTAAGTCAATTATTGTGTTGTAAAATGACAAGGTAACTCGCTTATTTTCCTAAAAAAAATGTAGACTAGTGATGGGAACAACTGATTGAAAACAACCAATTCAATCGATTGTTGGAAAACAACCGTCGACTAGTCGGTTGTTCTCCCGGATATTATTGAAACTAGTCACTTTATACTCCCGGTCCTACGGCGACTGGAGCCAGTCAACCAATCGTTGGAATAACTGTAAACAGTCAAACGTCGACGATTGAAACTAAGTTAGTCGTAAGAACCACTGACTGTTGTTGAGCTTTCATTGTTGATATAGCTTTCCCAGTCAAGCTTAAAAAAGCTGTTAGTAAAAGGTCAAAAAATAAATTTAAGTGGTTCAATAATGATTTAGCTGTGTTAAAAGAAAAGTGTCTTTTGATGTATCACCGTTTTAAAACAACTGGGTGCATAGAGTATAGGGATAATTATAATAGGCTTAAGCGTGATTATAAAAAAGCAGTTAGAAAGGCAAAATTAGCCTATAATTCCAATAGAGTGCAAAATGCCTGTAATAAACCCAAGGAAACTTGGTCTATTGTAAATGAGGGCCTGAACAAAAATGAGAAACCAATAGCTGATCAAATGGTAACTATTTGAACTTAGATTGTTCAAAGTTTAATGACAATTTTATAAACTCCGTAAAAGCTACTGTCCTAAGTGTTCCTAAGTCAAATAAAGGTGTACAATTTTATCTGGATAAACTCCATATAAATGGGGTACAGAATAAGTTTACTTTTTCTAATGTGTCAGTTGAACATGAGTGCAATTAACTTGTTAAGCGATAGTCCTGTCTAGATGTATATTTTATTAATTCTTTAATTTTAAAACTTGCTGCACCATACATTGTAGAAGTGCTTTCATATTTGTTTAATTCGTGCATTGATGAGGGTGTTGTTCCACAATGTTTAAAGTTTGTAAAAGTGATACCTGTGTTTAAGAAAGGCTGTGTAAAGAAAAGTATGACAGCTACCGCCCTATATCAATTATCCCAGCTTTATATAAGGTTTTTGAGTTCTTGTTAAATGTTCAAGTCAAAACTTATTTTGAGGGTAATAAGTTATTTTCTGACATGCAGTATGGTTTTAGGGCGAAGAGAGGGACAAGTAATGCTATCATTAATTTTACGAAAGATTGTATATCTGGTTTAGATGCTAGAGAAATTGTGCGTGGACATTTCTATGACATGTCAAAAGCTTTTGACACCATAGACCATGATGTTATATTGAATAAGCTTTATTTTTATGGTTTTGACACTCTCTCTGTAAAATTGATACACTCATACTTGTCACAGCGATATCAGTCAGTCCTCTACAATGGCTGTTTTTCACGTTACCTGCCAGTCCCGACTGGTGTGCCACAATGGTCTATTTTAGGCCCTACTATCTTCATTATTTATGTAAATGACTTACCTGCTCTGTTAAATGATCATGTAACACCTTATATGTATGCAGATGACCTGGCCTTGCAAATTCAGTGTAAGGATAAAAATTTTGCTGATCAACTGTTTCTTAGTTCAAATAGGCTAATTGAAGATTGGGCTGCTGCAAATATGTTATGTTTAAATAAAGAGAAAACACAGAGTCTTGAATTTTGTCTTGGAAATGGTAATGATGAATTGTCTGTTGTAAAGTTTTTAGGTGTGTTTTTACAGTCTAATGTAAAATGGGACAATCACATAAGTTACCTGTGCAATAAAATTTCCAAAGCTACTTTTATTATTAGAAGACTTAAGTCAATTGTTAGTTTAGATGTTTTATCTGCTATATATTTTGCACATATACAGAGTCATTTGTCATATGGCATATTGACTTGGGGCTGTGCAAGGCCCCACTAGAAAAAACAGGCCATGCTGCAGCGCGGGTAGCGCAACACTACGTCACAGTGGTGGATAGTTGTACCTCTTACCATTATAATCTTACAAACAGCCAGCTTGTTTATTTACCTAAAACATATGGGAATGGTGATGGCAATGAATTTATCAATGAAATATATCCACTAGTGTGACGTCATGGATCCTGCAGCATGGCCTGCTTTTTCTAGTGGGGCCTTGGGCTGTGATAGTAACATAAGAAAGCTGTTATTGTTATAGAAGAGAGCATTAAGATTAATTTTAAATGTTAACCGTAGATCTCATTGTAAACCACTTTTTAGGAAATTTAAGATATTGACTGCTCCATCTTTGTATGTTTTTTTAATGTTTAGTATATATTTTAATTAATTTAGATCAGTTTAAAACTTATAGTTCTGTTCATAAACTATGGAACAAGACAAAAAAATCATTTAAGAATCAACCAATGTAATTTTCAAAGAACTATTAATTCAACTTTAGAGGTTAGTAAAAGAGTGTTTAACAGATTGCCTGAACATGTAAAAAATCTCAACTTAACTAATTTTAGAAGGTTTTTAAAACAGTTTTTGATAGATTTGTCCATGTACAAAGTTTCAGAATTTAATGAATACTGGGATTCTGCAGGTAGACTAAAATACTTGACTAAAATTTCATTTGTTTCATTTAGTATTGAATGAGTATTGTCTCTATGTGATAATTAAAAAAATTATTTTATTGACGATGCACCTATTTAAGGTTACAATGTGTAATCATGTAAATGTTTTGTGCAAATAAAGATTGATTTGATTTGAGACTGACTGGTGAATGAAAACGGTTGTAGAAAAACTTGTACTGTACACAAATTGTGAACAGTGTTTAATCCTGAGGTATTGGCCTAATTAAAATAATGTAATTGTATGTTTTATGTCTTTAAAAATTTTAAATTTCCAAGTCACTGTTTTTCAAGTACTCATGATTTAGTTTTAAATGACTAATACAGTTACATATCTGCTCAATTTGAGGTGGGAAAGTGGTCTGGGAGTTCTCTATATAAAAATAATTTTGGATTATCTTTGATAAAAAATTTTATTATAATTTACTTTCTTTAGGCTATTGAAATAATTTAAATGTTGTTGCTGAATAAAACATTACATAGCATTTGTTTTACACTTCCTTACAGTTTATACAGCCATGCCTCCAGGAGTGATTTATAAAATGGGTTTACGTATCTCATGTCGTAAATCCTACTTTAGTGTATCCTTGTGTATTAAATTTTATATTTGTGTATCCTTGTGTATATTTGTGTATATTTTGTGTGTATTGACGACAACATTGTGTGAAAATAATTTTATGTAAGACGACAAAAGCCTTGAAAATAAAACAACTGTTTCTAAATTAGTTGCCTGAGACTAAACTAGGATGGACGAACCAAAATGCAGAACCCTGTTTTAGGCTATATTGTTTCCAATAGGTTGTAGTTTCAACTTCTTAATTACAGTAGGCCTACTTGAAATCAAGCTCTGGTCTTGAATAAACTCATATTCAGCAAGGCTAAATTCCTAGTTAGAAATATTAAAACTTCCATGCAAATTTGGTTCTGTCTATGCTAAAAGTTCCAGTAGCGGTAAGTATACTTCGGATCAGTTTTAGAGACTAAAAATAAATTTGAATTCATCTTTGTTTTTTCTTTGGTTGCCATTTTTTAATATAAAATATTTAATTTGAGTTTTGTATTCACTTAACAATTGTGTCTTTGTTGCAGGCACTGCATTGTTATTGTTACACTTGTAAGAAGATTGAGCGAAGACTTCATTCTTGTCTTCACTGTATATACATAGGATGTTACAGTAGTGGTCATATTCAAGATCATTCCAAAACTAAGAAACACTTTCTTGGTTAGTTTCCTAAAGTTAAGTAGCTTTTACCCCCGCCGCAGCAAACCTGCAGACTAAGCAAATTTCCATTTGCCTGATTAGATTTTAACTAAAATATCTCCTTTAAAAATCATTTTTATTCCCTATTTAAATAAAATTAGTTTAACGACTACCGGTACTTGATATTGAGTACTTATTCCTATCCACCGCAGCTTATTGTATGTGTAGGTATCTAAGAAAGTGTTTAAAATATTTAGAAACCCATTGGGATTCCAAAGCAAGAATTGTAAAATATAGTTTTTACAATATTTTAACTAAGGAAACAATTTTTATTCATATAACAGAATAGTCACTCGCATACATTATTACATTAGTACATTATTATTATTTATAAATACTTACAAGGAATAAGCCAACTGGATAAAAATGTATTTTTCTTACAGACACATCAATAAAAATTTTGAATGCCAATTTAGCCATAGATTGTTATTACCTATATAAGGTAATATCTTTTTATTATTAACAATCAATTTGAAGTAATGTTTGAGGTGTCATTTAGCCAGAATATTTAAATGATAACAAAAAGTAACCATAGCTACTATTCCAAAATAGATTACTGTAACTTTTTTTTGTAACTTAAATAATTAATTAGTCCCACCCCCAACCGTTGACTATACAAACTAAACATTTCATCACCGTGTTAAAGTTGTCTTCAGTTTCTCAATAAAAATCGTCATACAGTAGTTAATGTGACCTACTGACAGATTTTGCATTGCGCTAATCTAAATTACTAACTTGTGTCAAATACACCAATCTTTTTACCAACTATTGGCATGACTTATTGTTATAGCATTGACGTTGTAGCAACTGTTATTACCCATTTATTTTGTTAGCAACTAACATTAGGTAGTACAGTAGTAGCCTCCCTCTTAACCGACCCTAATGGGACCGGACCTATAGTCCGGTTGCCAAGCCCAAAACCCAAAAATTTTGGATTAAGTTTTATTTATTTATGGATAGTTACTAGGACATATACAGCTTCAAGAAAATGCATGATGACATTCTGTCACCTTTGGGCAATTCGAGTTTTCGCCGCCATCTTGAATTTTTCCAAATATTTTTGTATTATTTATATATATGTAATATAGGGTTGTTGTATATCATTTTATATGTTTTTATGTACGCTGAGTTCAATGGAAGCACTCGAAAGTATCTAGAAATAAATCATTTCTTATAAACCGCCGCCATCTTGAATTTTTCAAAATATTTTTGGATTATTTTTATATTTGTATTATAGGGTTGTTGTATATCATTTTATATGTTTTTATGTACGCTGAGTTCAATGGGAGCACTAAAAAGTATCTAGAAATAGTCATTTCTTAGAAACCACCGCCATTTTGAATTTTTCCAAATATTTTAGGATTATTTTTATGTTTGTATTATAGGTTTGTTGTATATCATTTTATATGTTTTTATGTACGCTGAGTTCAATGGAAGCACTAAAAAGTATCTAGAAATATGCATTTCTTAGAAGTCCTTACCATATAAAAAAGAATAATATAAAAACAAAACTAAATATAATTGGTATTTTGTAATATATAGGTGTTGTGTTGTGAATAATTATTTTTAAACAACGCCATTTTTTATCGTACAAAAAAGTGAATATCTAAAGTAAACAATGTAATAGGTGAAATTCTGATATTAATTACATATTGGTATAAAAAAAAAACATTTATGACTAAGAACAAACAAACATTGTCCAAACAGAGATCAGTCTGCCACTGGTTCTTCAACAGGGTGTCTTCTTCCCAGTCTACTTCTAATTCGGCAACACGTGTCAAATCATTGGAACAGGAACTGTTTGAGCATGTACAGAACATGGTGCATGGTAGGCTGGCACTATTGCAACTACACCGATTGCTGTTGCATGGCAATACGTTTCTGCAAGAGCACTTAACCAACTTCAAAATTTCCGGTGGAGCAACTAAAATATTTTCCGGGATAGTTGTGGGTAGGAGGCATCTTGAGTTTTCATCCTTGTAAAAACCGTGAAGCAGTGGATCTAAATCTGGTGGGTCAGAGTCCATTGAATGCCTCCAAATACAGGTTTGAAGGTGTGCTCTCTTAAGTTTTTCTTCAAACGCTGAATTTGTTAGTGGTAGTGTGCACAGTTTTGGCAGTTGAGTTGTTGCACTTCGAACTTTGTCAGCCCACAGTTTGACACGAGCCTTAGAAGTTGTGTAACAATTAGATACACCGTAACATGCAGACATAAACCTCGATGCTTGCAGCTTTATGTCACAAAAATCAGCATGCATATCTCCAACCAATGATAAAGTAGTGTCCACTTTTCAAAACCTTATTGGCTTTAATCTTCCCGATTCCATAGCACATTGCACTTGTATCACATCCAGTGATAGCATGAGCTGCAAGCAAATCAGGTACTATTTTGTTCTGTTTGACGAAAGATGCTCCAATGTCAATTCTTGAGCGACCCTGGACAGGTGATTCCATCAGAATAGTTGCTGAAATGGTAATAAGATTGTAGAAGTAAAGGAGGAGAATAAAAAAGTCTGTGTCATCTGATACAACAACGATCTGCTTGTCTTCATTATTAGCAGCTAATATAGCTTGTTGTACAATAATCGTATCAGCTTCTTCGTGAGAATTTCGAAGATCGTGCCTTAGTTGTAGTTCTCCGTGATAAATCTGGTAGGGTTCTTCTTGAAGACCTGTTACAATAAGCCTATGTTTGGTAGTATTGTCACTGTTGAAAGATTCGTCTCTAATAATACTACTGCAAATCAGTTCAATTAATCTTTTTTTGTTTTCATTTGAGCCCAAAATATCCTTACGTGGAGGCAGAGATGTTGTATATGTTAGTGCATTAACTCTTGTCACTCCTGTAGATCTACCGGATCATCCTTGGTACTATTTATATTGCCTGTACCGATCAAAAATCAGGTTCACATTTCCGTGCTGCAAATGTTTGCTTAGGGATTTTTAAATGAACTAATTAAGTCCTGTACACTTCCCTTTTCTGGCCACTGCACACACCATAGAAGTGCAGATCCATCGATCACAATAAGTGTGTTTTCAATGCACGTCTTACTTGTCGAGGAAGAAATCTGGAGAAGTTTCTTTAGAGTAGATTTAGCTTTGCAGATCCTCATTTCTCCAGAATCTGTAAACATTGACGTGGGCAAAGGTGACAGTTCGTGAGACAGAACGTGACTTACATCTACTTGTCTTGAGCTTGCCTGAAGTCCTATAACTCGGGAGTAAATTATACCTGTATCAAAAACCTTAACACTGCCAATGTTTACGTGTTTCTTTGATGTAGACCCAAGCACAACTATTATTTTCACTGGCAAATGGAAACTTGCTGGCCAACCGTCTTGAAATATTTTTAATTGCTGAGCACCAATGCTCACTGCGTCATGCACGTTAACATAGGTAATATATATTCAAAATGGCGGCGGTTTCTAAGAAAAGATTATATCTAGATACTTTTTAGTGCTTCCATTGAACTCAGTGTACTTAAAAACATATAAAATTATATACAACAACCCTATATTACAAATATAAAAATAATTCTAAAACATTTGGAAAAATTTAAGATGGCGGTCGTTTTTAAGAAATGACTATTTCTAGATACTGTTTAGTGCTTCCATTGAACTCAGCGTCCATAAAAACATATACAATGATATACAACAACCCTATAATACAAATATAAAAATAATCCAAAAATATTTTGAAAAATTCAAGATGGCGGCGGTTTTTAAGAAATTACTATTTCTAGATACTTTTTAGTGCTCCCATTGAACTCAGCGTATATAAAAACATATAAAATGATATACAACAACCCTATATTACATATATATAAATAATACAAAAATATTTGGAAAAATTCAAGATGGCGGCCAAATCTCGAATTGCCCAAAGGTGACAGGGTGTCATCATGGATTTTCTTGAAGCTGTACATGTCCTAGTAATTATCCATTAATAAAAAAAACTTAATCCAAAATCTTTGGGTTAGCCAAAAATATAGGGTTTGGCAACCGGACTACTAGGTCGGATAACTCAAAAGGTCGTCGTGATTTAGCCTCCGGATAACCAATATTTCAATAAAGTGGTTTAAATACCTGCATAAAAGTTATCCAAATGTTGCTCACGGCAACCGGTTTCAATCCACAATAGGGATCTTCATCAGGCCGATCAGGATGTCAAAACATTTTTTCTCTTCTTGCGAAGGTCGTCAAAAGGCGTAAAAAACATGCACACATAGTCACAAACACAAAACACGGACATTTAACACTGAAGCCACGGCCGAAATTATTGCGACGACTCATCCCCGGCGAAGGTATAGTCTAGACTACCGGTGGTCAGTGGAATCCTGTCGTCCAATCCTTATCAGCTGTTTCATTGAGGTCTACCCACCCCCTACATCCATACCCTTCAATACCTTGATTGTAGTGTCATAAATATAATTAGATGAAAATGACAGCTTGTCGTTCAGGACGTTTTGATGATCCGATTTTACAGCTTTATATATTTCAAATTCTTCTAATGTGCTTGTCTGAGATCTGTCTTTTGAAGAGTGTAAAATATGCATATTTCTGTGTATATCTGAATAATTATGGTTATTTGAAACGAGGTGGTCAGCAAAAGCAGATGTCTGGGTCATGGTTTTCTTGGGCAAATGTTCCTTGAATCTCTTTTTAAAGGAGCGAGAAGTCTGACCGATATAGTACTTTTCACAATCAGTACATGAAAGACGGTAAACTCCAGTTTTCTCATATTCTGGAGTTGAAGTCAGGGGTCGCTCTTCCAATAAAGTTCCAAGACTGTTAGTAGTCCTGAACGAAACTGTGATATTATCTTTGGCTAAAAGGTTCTTAAATTTATTGCTTAGAAAATAACCATATTTAGCTGATAAGAATGTTTTGTGAGCTTTTGTTTAGTTTCCATTCGAGTTTTTATTTCTATGTTTGTAAATCAGATTATCAATAATTGAGCTTCTGTACCCATTAGAGATGGCTATATATTTTAATATGTTAACTTAATCTTCATAGTCACTCTGATTCATGGGGACTGTTAATAACCTGTGGACAAAACTATTGTATGCTGCTAATTTTTGTGTGTGAGGATGGTGTGATTCAGCATGGATTGTTTGGTCGGTGTAAGTAGGTTTTCAGTATATTTTAAATTGTAAGGTACCATTGTTTTTTGTTATGGTGAGGTCCAGAAAATTTAATCTACTGTTTTCCTCCTTCTCTAATGTAAAGCTGATGTTTTTATGCATGCTACATAAATATGTGTTAAGCATACATAATTGCCTGTCATTACCGTTAAATAAAACTATGGTATCATCCACATAGCTGTAATAAAACAGGATTTTATTTCTGAGCCGGTTCACTCCTGAAAACAAATATTTATTTTCAACCACTATCCTCAAGCAAAATTATTTCCGATTTCAAAATGAATTCTACATGCAGAAAGATGGGCTAGCTATGGGCTCCCCCCTCTCTGGAATATTGGCTGAAATGTTCTTAAACCATCTTGAAATAAATATTTGTTTTCAGAAGTGAACCGTTAGAAAGCGGCGGTTAAACCGAACTGCTCTCAAAGCAAGGTCGGTTAAAACAAACTGTATTATTTTACGATTGAAGGCAGAAAATCCGGTTAATACGAGGTCGGTTAAGATGGGGTCTACTGTAAATGGAAATCTAGACTCTAGTGCATTTTGTGACTGGCTCACACAACTACAGTAGACTTCCTCTTATCCGGACACCTTTTAACCAGACAACTTGACTTTGTTACTGGTTATACAAAATTTCTGTAAATAATTTCAATATATTTATAGCTATTTACATTACAAGTGTAGTAAGAGCGTTTTTACATCACGCAAGTGAATGTTGTGCAACGAGCGGAAGCGAGTTGCATAATTCACCTAAATGATGTAAACACGCTCTTGCGTAACGTGTAACGTACAAGATTTTACCTGACCCGACAATATACATGGGTTTATGTACAATATTTTCCATTATCCATTTCACTCATCTTCTAACAGTATTGTTCTTTTACAAACAAAAGCTAGGTTAGGAAAATACTTTAAAGCATAACAATAACATTCAAGCGCACAGCTGATTTCTAGCGTTGAACGTCGTTGGCTCCATAGAGGTATATTTTTTAAGTTAAGCACTCAATGTTATTTAAATGGGTTTCTTTACATCACCGAGTGAGTTTTTGATACTTTACATCACTCGAGAAGTAAGGAAGTTGCATACATCACGCTTGGGATAGGGAAGTTTAACATGGCGGGTTAGGTAAAATAACTTAACTCACTATCTGTTATCTTCTCATAGGCTTTTAACTGATAGGGTAGACATCCATCTATATGGACCAGCTGTCCCCTTTTTTTCATTAAAAAAGAACATAGTTGTGTGAGCCAGTCACAGAATGCACTAGTTTATAAAATTCTATTTTATACCCTATTTTTTGTTACTGACAAAGTTGATGGGTCATAACAGTTGCTTTAGCTCACAATTCCATTGGCTTGACTTGGTAAAAAATGTGATGTACTTAACAGAAATTAGTAATTTAGATCAGCACAATCTGTCAGTGGCTCACATAAACCACGACGATTTTGATAAAAAAACTGGCCACAACTTTAACTTGGGGATAAAACTGGCCACAACTTTAACTTGGGGATGGGGGTACAAACCAAGCAGTTAAAAAAAATCATGATATTCACAAGAAATTGAACTGAGTGTGGATTTACAATGCAAGGGATGATAAGAACTAATAAGAGTTATCTGTTGCAAACAACCTTCCTGGCTACTATTAGGTCCATAGTATAATCTTCAACACATACCAATCTTCAACACATTCCCTCCTATCTATTCTATCAGTCACAGTGAAATATTCTAATGTTTAGTTGTTTAGTTTATAGTGTAGGGCCTAAAGTTTTGAGTTTGTTGTGCCAAGTTAGACTTTCTTATTCAGGCAAGCCTGCTATCCTCACAAATCTTTTAAACCTAGACCCTTGTGCTTTATGTTACATCCTTAATTGATTGCAAAGAGTCACAATATACTCTTGTTAATACTTCCTGCTTCAATCTAACTTGGTTCATACATTTATACCAACAGAAGAATGAGTTTGTCATTCAGACCAATATGGCCATAGTAGTAAAAATTGCGAGCTTTTTACCATAAAACTAGTTCTTTAATTATTTGCCCGATCCTGTTAGCATGAAAAGCCACAGCTTGCTGAACCTACCTAGGAGTAGAATATATTAGTAGGCTATGGGTGTGTTGATATTTATTGGCACTCAAATTTTCTTCCTAGTTGTGAAAAGTTATCTTCCTAGTTCTCTTTCTATTCTCAAAGGTTTAATACTTATGAGATTAGAGTTTGTAAATCAATATACATATCAATGAAATATATTTCAGCGGTGGACCTTGCATACGGTAATGTCCTCTGCTTCCAATGTGGCGACTACATTTACGACTCGGTGCTGGCAGAGGTTGCCGAGGCTAACGTGACAATGGCAGCCGTCAGTCTGGGTATGTCCTCAGTGTATTCCACATGGTCACCCACTCCACGTGAGGTTCAGCTAATGCAAGGAAACCCTCGTGTGCTGACTATACTGAAAGACTCTACATTAGGTGAGCTGTACATCAAACCATCAACTAACAAACTACTAATTTTTTATAATTTTTGATATCTGTTTAAGTTGTAACAGTTAGTTTTAATAAATTAAAAATACATAAAGTCAATAAAATATGATATGTCCAGACAATGGTACTTTCCTTTAATCTTTCATAGAATTTGGGACTGCTTCACGTAAGGTCAAGTGGGGTAATTGTGCGCCCGGAGAAAGCGGACTTCCAGCTAATAATACATTTGTTTATTTATACAAAAATTTGAAAACTTAGCCATTGTTATTTCAAACTATGATCTTTAAAATTATAATCACTAAAAAATTCTCTTGCTATGATTACTATGAGTTTAGACGTGTTTAAGAACCTCTTACGTTTTTACTCAAAACACAAGTGCCGCTCGGAAAACAATTCAACACTGACAATTCAAAAATAACCTTTTTATAGCCCTAAAAGTCAATTTTGGGGAGTTAGGAGGGGAGGACGTACACTTACCCTGTGTGAAAACTTATTCGGGGCAAGTGTACTTTTTCCCATGGGGCAAGTGTACACGTCAATAACTAATAAATTACCGGTATCTAAAAATAAAGAAAACTTGGTTATCTCTTGCTTGTACAAGAAAAAACTTGCACTTTGTAAATTTAGCTTTTTAAGGTTTAATATAGGAAAATTTAGGGCTAATGTCAAATACATTAAAAAATATTAAGGTTTTAAGCTACATCATCGAGCGGAGGTTTACGAAGAAACTCTTAACTACTAGTTTAAGATATTTAAATGATTAAAACCCCAAAATAAAGGTCATTTTCTGCTCTTTGAGACTTAGCAATTGTTAATTCAATGGAATTGTGGAATCATAAGGTTTTAATTTCTCTTTAGAATTTCTAATAAAGCTGGAGTTTTTGTTTTCCCTTGCGGAGGTTTACAAAAAAGTTTATAACTCCTGAACCGATTGAGATATTTTGATAGATAAAAAATCAAAAGAAAGGTAATGTTCCCCTCTATAGTAGTCCCAACATCAAGTAATACTAGGTGAAACCCGTCGAAATCGACGGTTACTTTCAAGGCTTACGTTAATTCATCCAACTGCGATAAATTGGGTGAAAATACATATTTTGAGCATTTAGCATTGTTTAAAGAGTAATAAGTATAAAAACATTAATGATTTTAATCGCGTTAGTTGCCAAATTTGGTTGATCATTCAATGATTAAAATATTTCCCATACCGTAAGTCATCGGAGTTATTATTAGTATGTTATATGATATCTCTTCCTTTGGAAGAACCTTTAAATAGTATTAATATTGTATTGGTGGGTCTTTTGTAGCTAAACACTTCTGTTATTTCATCAGTGTAATATGATTTTATTTGAAAAGAAAATATTTTTTGGAAAGACATATTCTAACTTCAAAGGGAGGTATATCCGTTACAGTGTAAGTTTGATTTTTCCTTCGTCACGTCGCTTCAGTTCATATCGTACTTCTGTACCAATGAATGAACCCTCTAGCATAGTTTTGAGAAATTGATTGTGGGGTTACTGTTAAAGCTGGAATTCCTTGTCATGGGGGATGTCAGTTAGTTGTATCAGCCTTATCAACAACATATAGTTGTCAATCTAATCTCTACGGAATGTTAAGTGTAGTGGAATACTTGAAGTGAAGTTGGCTTTAATTCTTGAACTGTTAGGGGCCTCCTAGTCCATATGGTCTTGGCGGCTTCATTGGCAACAAATAATGCAAATGACATAGCAATGGGACATTTCCAAAAAGCAAAAATACTGTAAATTGGCTGTTACGTATATATTGACGTTTACATATTGTTAATCAACGTATCTTATAAAGGATTATGTGATCTTATTTAAAAGGAATATGACCTTTCTGTCATGACAGTAGCTGCTTAAATCGTATTTTCTCTTTGTACCATATTTTACAGCCAAAATGTAGTGTTATTTTCAATAATGTTACCAACCCAGTATGCCAAAGTCCGTAATATAGGCAGGTGCAAATAATTTGTCAAGATGGATACCATTTTAGGCAAGGTTTCTATGTTTGGATTTTGTTAGATACGATAAGAGCAGATATTTCTACATAAATATTTGATATGAGTAGAATAATATGATAAAATGTAGGCAAAAGTGGTGAAAAAGGAAGATATCAACCCGTACAATAGATATAAGATAGTTTCTATAAGAAATAATTTAAGAATTGCTGTGATAAAAGGATTTTCCACTGATTTCGTAATGGAACGTTAGCCTATATTGCAAAACATGACATGATAAAGAGGAAAATCAATTTTAAAATCATAAAATAACCTTTCAAATACTTGATTTGGTAGAATTCAGTAACTCCCAATAAATATTAAGGAACGCGGCAGCGTTCCGCCCCGCCAAGTCTCCCAGCGGTACACAGCTGCTGCAGTGTATATATACATGACGTGACAAAGTGGCTTTTTTACTCGTCTATAGCTCCGAAGAAACAAAAGCTATTAAAATAATTATTCATCTACTGGATAGGGGCACTCATTCTCAACAAAATTTATAAAAAGAATTTAAAAAATGGTTGTGTTTGAGCCAGAAAAACTAGTTTGAAAATTCACAAATTTTCTGTGTTCTCCTTCTTCTCCTTAAATGTTGACGGACCTACAGCCCAAACCACTGGCTCAATTTTAATGGTTTTTATGTTGTTTGAAAGCCCTTAACGTGTAGATGTGCCTTTTGAGGGTCTCAAGTCGGTGCGTTGACCCATAAACCCTTGGCAAGCCCTCAAAGTACGATTTTGGCCCATTTAAATAACATGGGATTAAAATAAAAACAAAAGAAGGACCAGCTGCTATTAAATCTCATTTAATTTAAATGTTAGAGAAATTCATAGGAACAGCTGAAAATTATTTTAAAACTTTTATAAAGTATTTTTTTCAGGTATACCGAATGATTTGAACTACTTGCTATATAAAATTACTTAGAGCAGTGATATTCCCCGATACTTTCAATTGAAAAATGCAGTGTACCGATGGTACACTGGTACAGCAGCTCGTCATTTTTAACAGTTTAATACTACTTATTAAAACATATGAAACCTAGGAACTTGAAACTTAGTACTAGTACTAAGGTCTGTTTTATGTTTTGATACACTAAAACAAATAAAACAATCGGGAAAATCACTCTACGTATGTTAAACAAGCAATTAAAAATATGTAAATTTAGGATGGATGAGTTTTTCAATATTTGTTTTGTTTATGCTATTTCTAACAAACTTAATCTGTTTGATTACATTTTTACTTCTCTAATAAGGGCTCAATTTACACTAGTCTTTAGATGTACGGGTTTAATTATCAGAACACTTATGTAACACCAACGCATTTCATGTTGTTCAAGATGACCATTGATGAAATTTGAAACTGAGTTTAAGCCCAGGGGGTTTGTTAAATAGTAATTTTGGTACGTGTGTCAACAAGTTTTTAATCGGTTTAAAGCAGATAAGACCAAAAATGTAGAATTTAGTTCTACACAAACAATATTATTGAAATTAAATGAGATGTAGTTGTGCCGTGGTCTATATATCAGAGAAAGGAGGATTTTTATTTTAACTGTTAATTTTCTACAAAAATAAATAAAATCTAACAAAAAAACCACTAAGTGGTAACACTTTCCCCGCCAAGTCAGCAATCCAAAAAAGATAATAAATCATTACTTTTTCTGCCAAGAAAAACAATGTAATGTATGTAAGTTTGGCAACTTGGCGGCAGACTTTTGCTCGATCACTTTAAAAAATACCATAAAACTAGTTTCATTGAGCAAGTATCTCTCCCATTAGTACATTGCTAGGTGAGAGCTTATTTTACAAAATTTGACCTTATTTGTGCCACATTTCATAAACTCGTAATAGTGATGGTTTTATATTTACTGATTACCTCAAAATTATTATACTTAGTTGGACTAATTAATTAGAGAAGTTGATTTGTGAAATTATCCACGAACGTAACTTCAATGAAAAAAACCAAGCAAAAGTCTGCCGCCAAGTTGCCAAACTTACATACATTACATTGTTTTTCTTGGCGGAAAAAGTAATGATTTATTATCTTTTTTGGATTGCTGACTTGGCGGGGAAAGTGTTACCACTTAGTGGTTTTTTTGTTAGATATGTTGTTTGAAATACAATTTGAAAAAATGAACAGCTGTTTTATTAAAAAGTATTATTCACATGGCCATAATGTAAACAACTCTGTGGATGGATCTTTAAAGGCTTCTAAGGCAGAGCTCTAAGGGATTTTGCTTAGTTTTATTTTTGATAACTCATCTACAGACCAAGACCTTTCTTTGGACACCTCTACCAAGTTTCTATGCCCAGCCATTCTCTCAAATCAGTAGGGGCAATGTTTCCAATTAAATATTTAAATTCCCCCATGTTAATCTTATGGGAGAAAATCAAATTTTGATGGCCGGTGGGGTAAAGCCCGAGGATTTTTATTACAGGAATTGGTGAAAGGGGGCGTCTACACAAAAAATACTTTATTTTGACACATCGTTTGTAAAAATCCTTCCATTATTAACGGAGGAGTAGTGTTTCGTAGGAATCGCCTTCACGTATTATATATAAGGATGCAGTGGAAAGCTACAATAAGGGGGGGGGGGGTGTACACATGCCCCATATCAGGGGGGGGGGAGTGTGACACACCCCAAACATAATTTTTTTTAATTCTCAAAAACACAAAATTCACACTTTTAACAAAATAAAAAAACTACATAACGTATACAAAACATTCCAAAGAATAAGCGCAGCGAATTTGATTTTTATTGCACTTACGGGCATATTTTAATATTTGGTTAAAGTTGTACTATGTGATTTAGAGCATACACTTACCCCACTTGACCTTACTTCTATTTTGTTGTTTTTGAAATTCAATTTTGTTTTTTGTTTACATTTCATATGAAAGTACTTAAACCCTTTTGGAAAAGTGGTCCAAACTTGTAAAATTTGCTAGATTGACCTGTGCTCTTTAATACTGTGTAGTATGATTCTTTTGTAATGAAAAATATATCAGAACAGGTAACACAAACAACTTACTCAATGAAACATTGAATTGTAAAGTCTTGACAATATCATCAGTTGCATTTAAAAAATATAATAATATAAAGAAAGAGCTATCCACTTTACTTGGAAAGTCACCTTTAACTTAGGTAACTCTTGTAAAGTAATTTACTTTACTTAGAAATCAGTAGTGGTCATGGAAAAAAACTTATTTTTCGTTAAGAAGCACTTCTGAAAAATTCTGGGCTTTGGTTCTAGATTGATAACCCTTTACACAATCCAAGATTGGCTGCTATACAGACCTTTCAATGGGAAACAGTATTAAACTGATCATGACTTGTGAAAGAAAACACTATTAATATTAATGTTACACTATCTGTAAAAACTACCCAAATAATCTGTAAATTGTTTGTGACATTTGTACTTTTCTCAATAATAATGAATTTTGTTTCCGGTGTTGCAGGTCTCCGAGGCCTGTTGAACCTAGGCAACACATGTTTCATGAACTGCATCATGCAGGCGTTGACACACACTCCGCTACTGAGGGACTACTTCCTGAGTGACAGACACGTGTGCCAACTGCAGGACACTCCCGGACACTGTCTGGTCTGCGAAATATCATCCTTGTTTCAAGAGGTAGGCCAAGTCACTGCTTTTCAGGTTCGGACGTACAATGAAGATACTTTTTCCATAGGAACGGTGTCTGTTTTATCTGTTTTATACGTTTATCATTATAAATAGATGGATACTGTTATGAATTTAAGATAAATGAACAAGTTAAGAAAAAAAATAGTAATATTTTCATCATTTTGTGTATTTATATAATTTATATTAGAATGAATTGGGCTAGTTTGTTAATCCAAAGGCAGCGACAGAAATAGAAATAAACTGGACTGGAAACAAAAAGTAGTTGGACTCAAGGAAGCAACAGGCATGAATAGTCAGGGCAGTATTTGTTTCTATCTTGTTGGCTTTTCAGAATAAAATATTTAAATGAATCTAATTGAGTATTATTTGTAACAGATACCATTTGATTAGGAAACATTATGAGTTCCCAATGTATGTTACAGTTCTACTCAGGGCGTAAACCACCGTTGGTGCTGTCAAGGCTACTGCACTTGATATGGACACATGCTCGACACTTGGCTGGTTATGAACAACAAGACGCACATGAGTTCTTCATCGCCACTTTGGATCTACTTCACAGGTATAAGCTTGCATCAAACTAGATCAAAATGTGTATGGCAAGAAATAAACAGCATTTCTAAGTATCTAGATTCCCAAGTGTAAATTATTAAGGAGTCATTGAAACCTCAAGAGGTTTTTGACCGCAAAAATTCACCTCCTCTCTCTTCTTTCTCCTCTTCCCCCCTTTTAGCGAATATCCCTATAGGGAAGTAGCTATTACCGTAGGTGGCATGGTAAGACCTAGGCCCGGGACCGATTTGCTTTTTCATTTTGATGTCCCCAGAGGCCAAAAACACCATTCGTTCAAATTTTTATATATGTATGTATATATATATATATATATATATATATATGTGTCCGTGAACGCGATAACTTGAGTAATCTTTGTCCGATTTTGATGAAATTTGGTTTAAAGGTGTAAAGGGGGATAAACTTAAATGAGTTCGCGAACCAGCATGATCGTAGTGTGGGAACGGGGGTTTATGGGGGGTTTTATGGGGTAAAAATAGGTTTTTCTAATTTTTGACCCTAAAACACAAAATTTCACAATTTCTTTCTAAACCATTTTGTAGAGCTTAAAAAAACAAATAATTTAGTATATTGAAGCGTTATTATTTGCTTAATGAATACGGAGAAAATTCAAAAATATTGTAATTTTAAAATTCTCATGTTATTCTTATGGAGATAAGTCAACTGTTGTAGTTTGCTCGTTTATGAACACATTTTGATCAAATTTGGAAAATACATTGATTTCTTACTAAACTACAGTACCTATTAACATTTTACATAAAAAACACTTTTTATCCTCCCTGTTGCAGCAAACCTAAGTACTCATTAAACTAATTCTATTTAAATAGGGAATAAATGTGATATTTCTAAGGAGAAAATTAAGTGGAAATCCAATGAGGCAAATGGAAATTCGCTAAGCCTGCAGGTTTGCTGCGGCGGGTGTATTTTCCCTCAGTCTTGCAATATCTTTTATTTCCTTATATTTCCATATTATCATTGATCTACCATGGGGTGGTGGTATTCATTTATTTTGGATTCTCTTGATAATCATTTGGATCTTATTAGTTTTCCTAGGGTCCATCGTCCTTTTTACGTACAACTAGGTAATGCGAATTTCACTTTTTTTTATTTATTCACTATAACACTTGGATATTAAAACACACTTACTGAATTGCAAATTGAAAACTAAATTATGTAGAAATATTTGTATTTCTAATTTATGCAAAATTAGTCTATAGAAACAAGATTCACTATTAAGAGTCCTTGGAGGCTAGTGACCATCTTTGATAATTTTGAACAGTTGCTGAAGAGTTATTTATCGCCCAAAAATACTTGTTCAATCTCCAAAGTAGTTATAATTTAAATATCTAGTAAACTGTTAGATAAGAAATGTTCTTTGTAGTTTTGAATTGTTCTCCAAGGGAGTCGATGGAAGCTAACGGCCATCTTGTATTTGTCCGCCATGAGAGCAATGTTTTTTTTTGGTAATTTCAAACAGTCACTGAAGAGTTATTTACCATATGTTGTAAGGGTTCATAAAATTCGTCAATATTTATAATAAAACTAAACCCTTACTATGCAGAATCGCCTCGCCAATTCGCCGAAGTTCAAAAATGTAAACAAAACAAATTAGCATATGACACAAGTTCAGCAACAGCTGATCTTGTGGTTCGCCGCCGTACCACCGGGCCGCGCATCAGTCGCCCGCGCCTGCGCAGGAACCCCAGCCACAGCGCTGGATGTGCGCGGCGCTCGCAGAGACAGTGAGTCGGGGTCGGCGAGAGTCGACAGTCAGCAGGAAGCAGGAGCAGTGGCCTGAGCAATTAGGCAGAAGACGGACGCCCGACCCGACACTCTCGCTCACGCCAAGTAAGTGGACGACATTCGCCGTTGTTAATATCCTAGGGCGCCTAGGATAACTCGACCTCACTCGCTATCGTTTATTTCCTGTTAATTAATTACGCTATTTAAGTCAAACGTCCGCGGGAAGTTTCGTCTTAAATTTAATTGAATTATTAACAGAGATCGATTTATTTAAACCGGTGAATATCTTTATCGTTTTACTATAACATAGAGTGTTATCTGTTTTGTTAAAATAACTCTGTAAATATATAACGATCAGCTTTGATTTGTGGAATATCTTAATTTCGTTCGATACATAATAATTTATAGACCGTGAGTTCAAAGAAGTAACGGTCAGAACGAGATCCGCCCGGTTATAATTCCTTTCGGTTTTAATTGTGTTGTTTTATTTGTATTGTTTAAATCTATTCGAGTTCGATCGGTTTCGGTCACGCAAGGTGGCTTTTCATATTCGTGTGTTTTTGTTTGCTTTGTTTATCGCGTAGGTCCGTGAGAACACGGTGTTACCGGTACCTAAATATAATGTGTGGTGTTTAGTTTGTAGTCAATGTTGTTCGTAATTACTGTAGCAGCACTTCAGCTGTGAGGTATTTTATCTATGGGAATAAGAGTTAATTAATAGTGGATTTATTAGAGTGATTTTAATACTTTGTTGGCTTCTTTACTAACTAACACGCTTTAATTTGCTTGTACATATTTCAGAACTGTACTAACCATTGTAGCTATTCATTATCTTTTATACTAGAACCAGTGCACAGTAGTTATGTTCTATGTCGTTGCTTAGCCGCTATTAACTGTTAATGTTCTAGGTAGTTGCTTTACTATTCTTTACTATATTTAACACTTCATTATTAATTATTCATTTAGCCTTCCACTAATTATTGATGTGTTGAACAATATGCATTTAAATATCCTAACTTATGATACGACACTGCTACTAACACACTAACCTTAGAAATTGCTTCAAATCTTAGCATAACGCTTAACCTTTGCTTAACCTTTGACTATTAACGCTTAACTAAGGCTTTGGGGATTCGTATTGGCTTTGGGAATTTTAATTCACCGTGACGTTAGACAGTTAAGCCCCAACTTCTATTTCCACTCTTCACCATTTCCTTGATTCCTGGACTGTTGCTAATTGAGTGATCTGTGTGTTATATCGTATGTGTTGTGTGTGCAGCTAACTGCTTTGGTTAGCTGTAGTTTGCTAAGTAGCTTTTCTTCTTTCTCTATTACTTCGGGCACACCGGAAATAAGTTAGATTTAATTAGCACTTAAGCTCTTAGCTATAAGTCTCCTACTCTGTCACTTTATGACTATGAATGTTTGTTGCTTGCCACAAACTTTTCTTTCTTCTTTCTCTATTACTTCGGGCACACCGGAAATAAGTTAGTTATAAGTTAGCTTTAACCTATTCCGGAAAACCCAGAAATAAGTTATTTATAAGTTAGCTTTAATTACTTCGGGCACACCGGAAATAAGTTATTTATAAGTTAGACCTAAGCTATCCCGGAAAATCTGGGAATAAGTTAGTTTCTAGTTAGGCTTAATCTATTTGAAATAAGTCTTTGTGTGCTCAACCTGTCTCTGTGTGTGTGTGTGTCTCGTATGTTACTCTTTCTATAACGATCCTTCTCCGCCCTACTCTGTATGTTCGTTTGCACCTTTCCATATTCCTACTCTCTCACGGGGCTTTGAACTAGTCCACTCGCCCGAAACGCATTGTATTATTTTAAATAATAAAGACGCATCTAAACTAATTCTGCTCGGTCCGTGGCGCATGGACTTAGGGTAGTGAATTAAATAAATGAATAATTGTCACTCCACCGAGGAGGTTGTGAACAGAGTCGCGCACGAAGCTATAACTTCGAAACAAAATCTCGCCCTCCCTCTTTTATTCACTCGTTTCCTGGCAATGATGAGGCACGAATAAAGCCAAGAGGCAAAATATTCCCGCCTGAGCCAGGAAAACGACTTTAGGAGACAAAAGCGGGAAACTCGACCAAAATTGACCCCCGGAATAACCCAGCTCGGCTAGGCTATCAGGGGCGCGTAACGCCCCGACCCGACAAAGTAACGAAACACGCCCGGAAGCGGGTTACAAAATGGCGCCCGAACAGGGACTTATCGCATAATATATTGTTTGAAATAAAGAGAAAAATGACAGGCACAAATGAGAAAAACGACGGGGTAACGCACGCGACCGTGAGTACGCCCGAAACGACTACGGGTCCACTTACGACCTTGTTGACGCACACGACGCAAACACTTACCGCTGTTTCCGTACCTTCAATAGGACAACCCCTAACAACGTTTACGAGTACTGGCGCGATCCCAAAACAAAGAATGGAATCAGGGTGCGACTTGTCAGACCTTACAGCCACGCGAAAAGTAGGTTGGGTCTATTATCTTAAGAAAAAGGAATTAAAAGAGAAGATGAGCGAATACGGTCTAGACACTGAGGGTAACAGCGATACTCTCAGGAGCCGCTTTGTTGAATTCTTAAGACAATCCGCTCTGCCAGCGACAGAAGCCGGGGCGGAATTTAGTGAAGTTATACCTCCAAGCGGACGTGGGGGTGATAATTACTTTACTAGTTATAGTAACGACGACAGAAACGCGTCCAGCGACGAATCAGTCGTTGTAAGAGAAATGCTTGGCCTGCCGCCTGACGCGAGCGTGGACACGGTAAAACGAATGCTCTCAGTCATTTCCATGGCAAACAACGCCGCTCTTCCGCCAATGACATGTCATGAGGCCCAATACCCGTTGAATTTAAATACTAACACGGGTAGGTTTCCAGCACCGAATGTGCAAATGACTTCACGCCCTCAACATAATTACCAAACAAATAACGCACCTCTGCAGTATTCAAGGGAAACCAATTTCGCTAATCCGCTTTCCGCAGCAGCGATTTGTAACATCGCTAGAAAATGGAATCTCCACTACGACGGAGACCGTAACCCCGTATCTTTTCTAGAGCGCTTAGAAGAATTAAGACAGTGCTACGAGATAGCCCCCGCTGATATTTTGAAAGCTCTTCCTGAGCTGTTGCGTGGAAACGCACTTCTATGGTACAGAAATAATAAGGATTTCTGGCAAACTTTTGAGGACTTCAAAGAATCTTTTGAGGTACAATTCTTGCCC